CTGAGCCGCTGTTTGAGCTGCCTGACCAGAGACTACGTGACCGCCGCTCCCGGAGTCAGGGCGTACGGCTAATATGCTCCAAAGCATGATGCTTGGGAAAAACGTCTCATTTCGTTCTGGCTGTGGCACGTCTGGGCTCAGTAAGAGGCGAAGAAGCTAAAAGAGATATAAAGGCAACATTTGGACAGCCCCGGTCCTCGGAGGCGGCAACTACTCAAGGTCACACGGGATAAATTGCGAAACGATTACAGCCTCCTTGCGTCAGTTGCGTGAGAGGAGGGGCGTCTTGCGTCTGCGCAGCAGGCATTCTGCTAAGATCCTGGAGCGCATGTGCTCGGGAAGTGCAGGGAAAGTGGGTGGAGTCTAACTACAGCACTCATTGGATGCCTCAGTGCACGGGAGTTTGGGCCCGCAGAGCCGGGGGCGAGCGCTGGTGCGTACACACTCCTCGCGCGCGGCCGTTTTTCCTGCTTCTGCTGCGTGCAATTAGCGCCATCTTGTCGTAGGCCTTTGTTTAGTGTAAACCTCAAGGTCCGAACCTTTGTTGCTCGGCCTCATCCTCTATTTGTTTTTCCGCTGTCTTTTATTATTTCAGTAACTTTAAACAGCTGGATATGCAGACCTTAGACAAATTCATACTGTGTTTTACCACAGAGATCTCTGCTATAGCAGTTTTTCATTCACATACTCTAATTATTAAGTCATCACCACTGTGTGAGGAATTCTAAAGGAATATCCGGGGAAGTTTGGGAAGGAAAGAAGATAACTGAAGAGTTTACATTGTGAGGGGGCTGAAAGTGGGAGTAAGAAACAAGTCAAACATAACGTCGATTATAGATTATACAGATTCCAAAAATAAAAAGCGCCCGCCCCCTAAGACTCTTGTGTTAGCTCTTACTATACTATCCTCCCTAGTCTACTTAACACACATTTCTCATTTTTTTTTTATTTACTCGGAGATACTTTACTGAGGTCATCAAAGTAACAGCCTAATGACCCTTACTGATTCAAAAGAACATAGAGAGGAATGACAAATAATATTGAACACTGAAGCAAACTAGAAATTGAAAACTACATCCTTATGGTGTATGACAGGGAAGGAGGAGGACAAGTGGAACAACTGGAGTAATTGGATTCTCATCACTTCCCTTCTCAAATGGTTCTCTTAAGAGTTTGCTTTTTTTCCCTTTTTTTTTTTTTAAATTCTTGTTGCATACGTTTAAAAGCCACATCGTGGAGTCAAATGGTGTTAGCTAAAGGGTGTCTAAGACCATGATTCTGTGGGTACATGGATGATAGAGGTTCCTGTTGGTTTTCCTGAGAGCCTGGCAAATTCTCGCCATGACCGCAAGGGGGATGTCGTGACTCTAGATATTGAAAGCAGGAGCCTGAGAATGGGACTGTATAGTATTTGCCAGCGTGAAGGACAGGCTTCTGGACTGCTTTGCAGATTAACATGGTCTACAGCCTGAAGGATTGAAGAAATGAGCCTGAGTCTAAAAAGAAAATAGGATGCAAATGAATAAGAAAGGAGGATTAGATCCACAACAAGGTGGCATAATTCTTCGCCATACAGCACAGTACTGTATTTCATTTATCTGTTGTCATCTCAATGTCACACTGGAAAATGAAAGGATCTGGCACATACTTTGTATGTGGGTAAATGTTTACCAGATGGAACAGGTGGCTGTCCAGTACCTGTGCATACTATATTTTAAATTACATTCTAACTGGCATGATTGCTATTTTAGCGTATTTGAAGACAGGAAACTAGTTTTAGTTTTTAAATATTTTAGTTTTTAAATATTTAACTCCCAGCCATTAATAAGAATTGTCATTAAATAGTAATCACTAATAGTATGTCTTTACTTAAGTGCCACATACTGACCTAAATACATTATCAAATGGAATGCTCACAACAATGGTCTCAAATACTATTGGTATTCCCATTTTACAGATGTAGAAACTGAGGCTTAGAGAGGTTAAGTATGTTATGTAGGTCACATTATTAAATGATAAAGCTAGAATTTGAAGCCAGACGGTATGACTCCAGAACCCGTATTGCTAACCACTAGGCTCTGCTGCCTCATAACCAAACTAGGTCTGATCTTCTACCTCCACATATATAGAAGATGAGTTTTATAATACTGGCCTAATCCATTATTAACAACAGTTATTTCAGGTAATGGAATAAAAATGTTATATATGTGTGTGTGTGTGTGTGTGTGCGTGTGTGTGTGTGTATTTCTTTATTTTTTATTTTAAGTAGTTTAGGTTCCCAGACCGCTGTAAAGAAAGCTCAATTTGTAATATAACTCATAGGATCAAGTTTATATTTTTAAAGCAAAGTCTCTTTAAACTGATGACTCAGGTGATGTTTTATTCAGTCTTACCAAAGATGAATATCATGCTGTGGCCCCTTCCATCTTTATGAAATAAAAATGAGGCATATTGCAGGGATTTGTCACTTTCGTTCTCAGAATTTTTCATGTACCTGTGGTAGAATTCAGGAGACAGTTCCCACTTTTCCATTTTGGCATTAGCTACACTATATTGGAGTACATTACACAGTGTCACTCCATGCAAGCCTGATTCAACAGAGCTTGCTCCAGTGAAGGGTAGGAAGAAGTATGTCAGGTGGTGTCTTTTTTTTTAGGTGATGTCTCTGTCCCCAGGGGTGGTGACAATTAGCAGGTTTCATTTCATATAGAATACCTGGTAACCCGACAACCTGCCCTCCTCTGATAGGAGAAAAAAGAAATAAAGGTGACCCTGAAAGAAAAGTGAGGCAACTATAAATCAAAATAAAATGTCATTTTCATTAGATAGAACACTTATATACCAGTGATAATAGTCTCATTGCACAGGGTAAAAATCAGTCAATTAACCTCACTTTGGATTTTCATTCAGGATTTAAAAACAGTTGGCTATTGGATAGGTCAAGGGCATATGTATGAAGTCTCTATTTGGGGAGGAGGGGGTAAGGCTGACAAAAGCAGAGATTTGCTCTCGTGGAGATCCATTTAATAGTTAATTCCTAATGATGTGGGAGTCTTTTCTGAATTTTTTAGTTTAAAGAGCCAGAATTTAAATTTATCCTTGAGCAGCATGGTATAGTAAAAGGAACCCTGAGCTAAGAGTTGAGTCCAAATTTAAGTTCTAAGGAAGGACCTTAGATCATTTAAAGTCTAACCTTTTATTTAATAGATGAGGAACAAAGAGAATAAGTGATTTGCCCAAGGTCACACAGACAGTGTTAGCTTCTGCTCTACAGCCTTCTTTTTTTACTTGGTGTGCTTTTTAGAAATCACCCACATGATTTCACATTAAGCATTCAATCAGTATAGAACCTTTTAAAAATGCTTACAGACAACTTTGTCCCATATGTTCTCTTCTACCTTATCCTTGCTCTTTAAGGAACATAATTAGTGAAATTATGCCGGCTATCTTTTCAGTTCACCTGGATTACATGTTCTCTCTATGTGAAGGGCCATTGGTTTTTAAGGTTCCCTACCCCTGCTCCCCAACCATCGGGAAAGGAAGTGCCCAGGTTTCCTTAGGTAATGAGGATTTAATTGAAGGCTAGTAGGGGAAGTACAGGCATCGTTGCAATACTCATAGAGCCAGAGTTCTGGAAGAACAAGGAGGGTGGCTCCTCCTCCTTGGTCAGGTCCCAGGAGAACCTGTCTATAGCGCCAGTTACAGGTCTTCCCCTCAGAAGCTGACTTCTGATATTTTTGTCTGCACTAACCCTGCCCTTTCTATAGCTCATCTTCCTTATGTCTGCATCTCTAATCCTTCTCTTGCAGTAGTTCCCACACTCTGGTAGGCATCAGACTGGGGAGCTCTTTAAGCATTCCACTCCTAGAGATTCAGATCCTGTAGATCTGAAGTGAGTCTAGGAATCTGCATGTTTAACAGGTTCCACAGGGTATTCTGATGGGAGTCGCATGGGGATTAGGACCACACCTCACTTAGAAACACCCCAAGCACCATAGTGTCTTATCTCCATACTTTTTCGTTACACGTTCCTATTAGAAAAATATTTCAGCACATACCTCCATTAGGTGTATATTTATGTCTTTATATACTATTGACCCTTGAACATTTTGGGGCTTGGGGCACTGGCCATCCCCCTGTGCGGTTGAAAATCTGAGTATAACTTTTGACTCCCCCAAAACTTAACTATGAATAGCCTACTATTGATTGAAAGCCTTACTCACAACATAAACAGTTAACACATATTTAGTCTGTTATATATATTATATCCGGTATTCTTACAATTTAGTAAGCTAGAGAAAAGAAAATGTTAAGAAAATCATAAGGAAGAGAAAATACATTTACAGTATTTATTTTATTTTTAACTTTCTCTAAAACATTTCACCTTTTTTTTTTACAGTATTTATTTTAAAAAATCCACACATAAGTGGACCTGTGCAGTTCAAATTTGTGTTGTCTAAGGGTCAACTGTATATGTATATAGTATTATTATTAAATGTATATAAAAACAGAAAAGAAAAATGGAAAAGATAAAAATAATTATAAATACATTTGACGATTTCCTTCCCGTACCCCAGTGTATCCCCGGGGCTGCTTTCATCACCCTTCCTACCTTTCTGTGTGGCTTGAACTACACCATCCCTATAGGCACTATTGGGCAGAGTAAAAGCACAGAAAAGTACCAAGTTGTCTCAAGAGTCACTGGTGTGAAGCAAGCAACTTACCTAGAAGGAGACCTGTGAACCCCTTCAGAAGAAAAGGGGGAGTCTGTGAGCATGATAGCTGCCATGGGTCTGATGAACACCTGTCTTCCACCATAGAATAATGAACTGTTTCAAAGCGTAACACAGTATAACGGTGACTCCACAGAGGCTGTAGATGAGGCCACCCTGCGTATTCTCTCTGCAGCTTTGCGCAGCTTCCCAGAAGGAAATATGCTCTGCCCAGGCTG